AGTAATAAATACTTTGTTTTCTTTGTATGCTTTTAATGTCTTGTCCATCTCTGTCAAGAGAGAGACTTGTCTGCTCCTCTATACCAGCACAGCACCAAGCACAGAAGGACCTATTCTCAAATAGTTTTTTAATACCACCATAATAAACATTAATATAATTATTAATGGTAGTAATTTAGCAAGTAGGGTTATAAAAACAAGGGAGGCCTTTGCTATTTGCCATTCAGGTTTGATTAAGGCTGTGCAAACAATTGATTTTACGAGACAGTGCCAGAAGCAAAACATTAAACATATAGTTTTGAATGATTGCGGTTTTTTTGTGGGAAAGAAGGCATTTTCAGATGTAAAAAAAGTGGTTTTGGTATGAATGCAACACACTGTTTCATGGGAAACAAATTCCTAACCTTTTTTTAAGAAACCAAAGGGCTTGATCCTCTGCACAGGAGATGATGATACCAAACCTGGTGTTTAGCCCAGTGGAGCCCAATGATTATCTGGGTTCTCCCTCCTCCATCAGATTCAGAAAAAACATTTGAAGGGACATCTCTCAGCTCCATGAAATGTTCACAGAGTATGGGTGCACTGAACTAGCAATTTCCACCAAGCAGGTGACTACTTTTGACAAATGGATCAAGTCTGACTTGTCATGAAAGGCCCAACCCTTGTATCTATGGAGCAGAGCTTTGCAACCTTTCAGGGTGCAAGAGGGAGATGGCAACTTCTTTGGAGATTTTCGGGATTTGGGTGTGCTCTCTGCCACCTTGTGGTGTGACAGAAAGCCTTCCTGGTTACTAGTGGTCACAGAAAAACACTTCTTCTCTCCTGGTCCCTGAGACTTCTTCTTCCTTACCCAACCCATGCAGTTTCTGGCAGTACACAATGCGTCATTCTCCAGATGTCCAAGCTGGCTGTCTGCTAAGGTGTGTACTACAGTCATTTATGGATTCCCCACCTCCTTTGGTAAAGATCACCTTTGTGAAAATATAATTTTTTTCTCTTGGGTACAGGACAAGTCACAACGGCCTTTACTCTTAAGTGATCAGGAACTAACTACCATTCTCCAGTGTGCTGACCTGCTAGTCACAGCTTTCCTTTGTGAGCTGGCTCCATGTCTGTGGTATGGTAGTTATGATTTTAACCAGAAAATAAAAAACTTCTGTAAACTTCCCTGACTTCCACAGGATCAGAGAAAGTTAACTGATAATGTAAGTTCATACACCTCAAAAGATTTCCTTCTGAAAACATGTAGATGTGAGAGTGGGGAAAAATATTCACTTTCCTGGGAATTTATACCATCTCCCAATGTTATAGACTTATAACATATTAATATACACAGCTTGTGTTAGACCTTAATTATGCAGGGTTTAGAAATTTTTAACACATATAACTTTTTCAATGACCTAAGATAGTCATTCCCAATGTTTTTGCAACACAGAGTTAAACAAATATGAAGAGACCATCATTAAATTTCGTTGTACCTAATCCCTTATGTATTTAATGTTGCTGTGGGATATCTGCATACTTAGTGGTAGGTTTCCTCTTCTAGATAAGTGTTGCCTTTCTGGGAACCTGTAAAGACAGCCAACTGATTTTTAAACTTTCTGCAAGATGTAAGATTAGACAGGGCGAACCTATTTTACAGAGATAACGTCACTGCCAGTGAAAAGGGGATACCACTGTCAGTCACCACCACCTCAGTTAACATCTGCAGTATGAATTTCAGAATTCTGTTAAACCTTTCCACTGCTCATTTGTTTCTAGTTTATGAGAGGCAAACAACAGCTGCTTCACTCCAGATAATTTACTCTTTAAATAGTACAATCACTTCATGTCTTTAGGAATTGCTTCTCTTTGGAAGACTTATGGACTGCAAGCAGCAAACATGACTTGACTGATTATGTTCTGAGCTAGACAAGCAATTGCTTCTGAATACCAGATAATGAAGCCAAACACTGCAAACATGTTTTTATTCAGCTGATATCTGATGTGCAAATGGATCCACACTTTCTGTCAGAACTACGTAGACTGTTTTCTGATTACAGGAAGGGGATGATCATTATTAGCTTTGTAAGAATGACCCACCCGTTTCCAGTTTGGTACATAGAGCACAGCATAAGAGATATGTAAAGCTATAGACCTAGGGGATCTAGGCCCTGAATTTTCCTAAGACATCCGGTTGGCAGGCAGTTTTAAGTCCTGCACAGTGCATCACAAGTTCCCTTGAGAAAATGGACAAGTGATGTCTCACCTCCCTCTCTCAGTCCCCTTATCCATGATAAGAGGGTGACAATTCCTTATTTACCGCTGGGCAGTGCCAGGAGGATGAATGCCCAGGAAGTGCTTGATAGTCACCTTGTGGGAGACACCATGGAATGCAAGATGTTAAAAGAAAGGGAGCTCCTAACCCAACAAAATGCATTGCAGAGCCTTCAGAGATGGTCTTTATCCCTACCTTGTTTGCCACCTGCAACAAATGCACAGCCATGCCTTGCCCTTGGCATTCCTCTTGGAAATGTGTCTCTTAAAGCTATGGGATCTGACTTCTGCTTTTCAGGTGGCTCCACTACTTTTATTTTTTTGCTTCAGTGTTATTAGTTCTCCACACTGATGTCTCACCATGTCCATTAGTGTCTGGGACCCTTGAGAGGGCTTACTCTGCAGGGCACAAATGTTTGTAATAACTCAACACATATTTTTCAAGCAACAAAAGAGAACCATGCATTTGTTGTCAAGGATACTGTAGCTAAGGACACTAGGCTGGGACTGTAGTAAAAAGCTCACGTGTTCATTTACAGCAGAGCCTGTTTGTCCTGTTCAAATGCCAAAACTGTGCTCCTTTAACTGGTACCACACAATATTGCAGGCTGCTGATCCCTTTGCCCTGATTCATATACAGTATCTCCACTGGCCAGCAATCATTTAAAGCTAAGGGGATGCTTGATGGTTTTTTATTCTATATCCATTATCATGCTGAAACAAACTCTTTCCTGCACCAGCCCTCCCCATATGTGACCATGCAATCATGGCCTCTTCTTTTAGTTCCAGAAAATAAATCAATCTATTCACTTGGGCTGAGTAACAACACAAAAGTGAGTGAAAAGAAAGAGTCATGCATACGTCCACAATTTGGATAATTTTCTTTGCGCTCTTTAATGAAGATTTAAACTACTGCAGAAAATGGGAGAATGGCAGAAGATAAGGTTACTTTTTTACTATTTTACTCTTGTGACTGTCTTGACTGTCTCAGACAATAGATACAGATAGATGACAGATTTAGATAGATACAGATAGACAAATCAAAATATCTAGTGGAGCAACAAAAGAATTGACTTTAATAATTTTTGGCAATCAAGCAGAACAATGATCCCCAAACACCTTTTTATTTACTGTACACTATGCTTTTGTTAGTTCCTGAAAAGTAACATCTCAAGAAGCATACAATGCAATTCTTAAGGAGAAAGACAAGGCAAACACCAAATTGTAGCACAGTGGACACTTTTTTGTGCAGTACTGGTTATCTTTATGCATGCAGTTTCTTGGCAGTAAATGCTGCTCAAACAAAGTGATAAGCTCAATATACGATTTTATTTCTGTGTTCGTATCTTGACCATTTGTTTTTCTGAAGCTCAGAAGTTTTTCACAATGCCACAAACTTGTTTGAGTGGCATTTTATTGCTGAGGAAAGGGTCATGAAATGGGTAAATAGTGTCATGCCCTGAGTATTTTTTCAGTTTTCACTTTACAAGCCTTTGTCCAGCATGCAACTGCCTCTGGCCTGAGAAGAACTCCCAGCAGAGTCAGATATTTTTTCTTTGATTCCTGAACATACAGGATTTGGACCCCAGAGCCAGGATTATAAAGCAGACTTTGCTACAACAGATGACAACAGCCTCCCAGGAGCCATCTGGTAGAGTCCAGGCAGTCCTATGGCTGAGATTTCCAAAAGTGTGCAGCACCAATTAACTCCATGGGTTCAGCTCCCTGAAACCCCATTGAAAATCCAGCTCAGGGCTTGCAGCAGTGGCTAAGAAGCAGACTCATCTGCCTGTGTAGAAACAGTATCCAGGAGATAGCACATGCTATTACAACACTTGAATTCTCTTGGTTAAAAAAACGCAAAACTATGCTGAGGGAGAATCAGTAAGAAGCTTCTCATAAGGAATTAAGAGATGTTGTTAAAACCACGCACTCTTCAAGCCAAAATGAGGAGACTGGACTATATGTCTGATAAGCCCTGTGACAGCCACACTGGCCATGCAAAGTGAGACACAGGGAGAGTGCCTCATAGACACTGGAGTTTATCCAGAATGGGGAGGCAGGGAATTTGGATTGCAGTTCCCATGACCTATCACAGCTGTGTAGAAGCTGAAAAATGTTGAAATTATTTTGAATTATTTTAGACTTTTTCAAAACTGTCCCATGTTATCCCTCCTGAGGATACAAACCTGCATTTTTGCATGGTGATTTTGTAAGCAAATGGAGGTTCTGGCTGGTATCACAAATGCATTTCACAGATTAACTCACGTAAGGGTTTTATTAGGTGCTTCATGCACCTAATATGCCTTACTTTTCACATTGATGCTTAGCTCAATTGAAGGTAAATGCAGGCCCACAGTGTGTCTTCTGCTCAGTTTTAGATCAAAACCTTGTAAAACCAGAATTGCACACAATTAAACACAGTCGTCATTCAATAGAATTGCACAGACTTCCATACCACAGTTTAGTAAAGGATTCCATTTAATGATCTAATAAACAATATAAAAGGGAGCTGCAGAATATACAAAGAATACCTGGTGTTTGCTTCCCTGTCTCACTGCCTTCCCTACCCTCTTGACTAATTCCTTGTAGCATAACTAAGCAATCTTTTCTCCTTTCCTTTGCAGGTATACCTAGATCTTCCACAGACAAACAGAACAGATAAAACCTTTTTAAGGCTCACTCCAAAAGACCCAGATTCTGTTTAACTGTCACCTTTTTGGATGAATATTTTGGGGTTCAGGATGAATAAGACAAGGGCTGTTAATGATGGTTTTCCTTTCCTGAGCAGTAAGAACTGGAGCTCAAACCGAAGCTTCCCTGTGCACATTTCTAATCAGTGCAGGAATGTCACTGACCTTACTGTCTTTCTGGCCACCTCTTACAGCTTGGAGACTGTCCTAGGCATTGTGGGAAACATCTGTCTGATTGCTGTCATTGCCAGGCAGAAAGAAAAAGCCAGTGTCACCAACATCCTAATTTCCAACTTGATAATTTCAGACTTGTTTATGTGTCTTGTCTGTCTGCCTTTCACCATTGTTTACACCATGATGGACTACTGGATATTTGGGGAAGTCATGTGCAAAATGACCTCTTTCACTCAGTGCACATCTGTGACAGTGTCAATTCTTTCCCTTGTCCTTATTGCTCTGGAAAGACACCAGCTCATCACAAACCCGACTGGCTGGAGGCCAGGTATCTCCCAAGCCTATCTAGGAATTGGAGTAATTTGGACTTTAGCATGTCTCATGTCCCTGCCGTTTTTGACCACATCCATCTTGTCTAATGATTTATATGAGCAGCTCTCGCACATCATGAATTTTTCCACTGACAAGGTCATATGCATCGACTCATGGCCTTCTGAACAACACAGACTTTTTTACACTACCACTTTACTGCTCTTGCAGTATTGTATCCCGCTTTTCTTCATTATACTTTGCTACTTGCGTATCTACTTACGTCTACAAAAGAGAAAGAACATGTTTGAGAAGAGTGAATACAACAACCGAGCAGCTCAGCTGAGAAGGATAAATATCTTGTTAGCATCCATGGTTGCTGCTTTTGCTGTTTGCTGGCTACCATTGCATGTTTTCAACACCATTGTGGACTGGAATTACAAAATCATTTCTCCTTGCCACCACAATCTGATCTTCTCATTGTGCCATCTTGTAGCTATGGCTTCTACCTGTGTCAACCCTGTTATCTATGGTTTCCTAAATAGCAACTTTAAAAAAGAAGTCAAGTCACTGATTCTGAGCTGCCAGCATAATTCAGTGAATGCATCAATAGAAGAATATGATCATTTGCCTTTATCCACCATGCAGACTGAAATCTCTAAGGGCTCACTGATGTTGAACTGCAGACACAATTCTATCTAGCTAGTAGAAAGCATTTGAGAGGGGTGTACTAACACCACACACCAATTATTACCTGTAGGTATAAAAAGCAACTGGTGATGCCATATGTGGGATGCGAACAGGAACCCATTACTGCCTGATTTTTGGAAGAACAGGCAAAGGACGATGATAAATGTAGACAGTAGCTAGTATGGTACACAAGCCATTCATGTCATTGAGATGGTACAGTCATTGAGGAGACTGGGCTGACGCATACATGGCTGCTCTAACAGATCAGTAACTAAGCTGTGGCTGCACATAGACCGACATGGGCTTCATCATCTAAGCTCACATGTCTACTATGACTGTGGTAGAAACCCAGACTTCCAGTTTCAGCACTGCAGGCTGTCAAAAATCACATTAGAGACGACTCTCAGTTTTTCAGTATTAGTAAGATCTTTATGCATGGCTGAAACACCAGTGAAACAGAGATATGTAAATATGGAAAATCTTGTGCTTTACCAACTCTCAAAGCCCATTAGGTAACAGTAATCTTTCAGCAGATCTAGTTCACTTCAAACAACTGGATATATGTATGAAACTACAGGCGTTGGAATAGTTATTGCCTCTGCGAGTAGATGACACACTACAGTGACCCTGGTATGTAAAGAAGACAGCTACTTATTGAGGGATGGTGCCAAATGAAGATGTTACTCACTGGATTAAATTCTTAAAATACATGGAGATGATGCTGAGTACTATTTTTAGTAAGACACAAAGCTTTGCAGCGCTAAAACTACATGCCTGTTGGCATGGTACAAGGTGCCTGGATTACGGGAGTTGTTCCATATCTTAGTAGCAAGATGTCACTTCTATTTCAGCAGCTCCTTGGTACTTTAATTGCAATGTATCTCACTCAGAAGGTCAGAACGGGCATGAAAACATGATTGTAGAAACTGTGTCCTTTCAGAGTGGGTACACTCCCAAAGAAATAAGCGTATGAGTGGCGGCTTTCACTTTCCCATTAAAATACAATCAGATGTCAGATACCAGCCCCACTCACTGGCATCAGCAACAGAGATGGAGCTGAAATTCCAGCTAATCAGTAGAAGGTCAATGAAAATATACAAGTGGAATCCAAGTCAGGTTGAAGCCAAGCTATGTGTAAATAAGTAGTATTTTCAATTGCGTTTCTAAAGTCAGGGTCGTGCGTTTTCACATCTGTGGTATTTTTAGTCTTTGTCCACAAAACCTACAAACCATAAACTAATTTTAACCTCTGGAGCCAGAGACATTGCTCAGTGACTACTGAGAAACCAAGAAGTAGGTATGCCCAAGAAGCCCATACTGAGGAACGGATTAAGAAAAAAAAGGCAGCAAGTGTAGAAAGGAGACCAACGAGGTCAATGCTAAAAGCATATGGAAGCATATTCTGTCCTGAGTTGTTAAACTGTCCTTAGCAGAAGGCTGGACTAGGTGACCACCTGAGGTAATTTCCAACCTGAATTATGCTACAATAAGCAGCTGTTACTCATTGATAGTCAATAGGTTTCCATTAAGTTGAAGCTATCCAATGTATGGTTATGCAGACAGCTAGAAATTCCTTAGCTTGGAGCTCTCTGATCAGACAAATTTGTAAATAGTTAGGTGAGGAAAAAAATCTTCCCATGCTGTAGTCTGTCAGGCAGTATGGATGTTGGATAGAATGTCTGAAGACAAGAGCAAAACCTTGTACTGTAAAGCAGCAAGTGCTGTCAACAAGTTGGAGATCATATCCTCAGCTAGCAGAAATGGGAGTTAATCCCTTGCCATGAGCTGGGTGCACAGAAATCAGTGGCGAAACATGAAGTTCAGACTTGAATTCTTGTGTACATAAGCCATTCTGATGCATCCAGCCTTCTAATTTTTGTCAGAACCTGTATATCAGTAAGAGAGCTCACATTTTGTATTTTCCTCAATTATCTGGAAAGGTGTTTTTGCTTCTTTCGGATGGACTTCTGCTTTCTTTCTTTGTTACTTGCCACAGTATGATGAGAAGTAGTTTTGCTTGATTTGTTTGTATGCAACATCATTTCTAGACTGGACAACGAGTCTGTTAGAAACACAGAACAAAAGGACTCTCATTTTATCTTATATGCATCTTGATATTTGCTACTGTAGCTGAAACCAGTGCTCATACAACCATGTGATGTGGAGTGGTGCAAAATACAGTAACTTCTCATCAGCTTGATTTATAACAAAATTGTGTTGCATTATTTGAGGGCTTAAGTACTGCTTAAACCTTGTAGTGTTTTTGTATTTAGGAGCAATTTCTTCCAATTAGCCTTGAGCAGTTCTGCCTGCTTCCCACACTTGTTATAGTTCCAACATTTAATTAAGATGTGTGTCAACCTGTTGTGAGAATAGTCCGCTAAACATGAACATAGAAGATTATCTGATTTATCGTCTTACGTGTACAACTTTCCAAGCATCAGTGTCTTAAATGGAAACACAATTAACTTTAGAATTTGTACTTCCATGAACGTGTCTTTGTCACTATTTCTCAGTGAAAACCTTTCGATAGAGTACTTACGGTGTGTGAGAGACCTGCCACTAGAGCTATGCATTCGCATTGTGCAATCAGGTCCACACTCTTCCTGCAAAGGGTAGAAATATCAGCGGGGTCTGACTCTTTGTTTAACTGTAATTCATGTGGCCATTTGTATCTATGATCACAAGTAAATATGTAAAGCAAGCAGATCAATTTTACAGTAACCCAGACAGACACAAACAGATGTATCTTCCTCTAGTGATTAAGGAAAGTGTCAAGTTTGGAGTCAAGTACTGTTTATTGCCAGCAGACTTCGGACTGGATAAACTAGAAGATTTAAACAGTAAAAGCCACCAAACAGCACCCGTATATCTAACTGCAAAAATGCAGATCCTCGTAACTTGCAACCAGCTGCTGCCTATTCATCTACTTACATACCATCCTTAGGTACATGTTTTTCAACCTCTAAAATTCCCTAGGCAACTAAATAAACTTGAGTAAACACAGGGAAAAAAAAAAAAAAAAGAAATCTAAGTTCCAAAGGACTAAATATCTGGGCCTTGTGTAAGCCCTGTCTTTATTTACTCACTAGGCATCCTGCTGGCACAAATAGCAGTAACAGGAAAGGTGACTTTTTCACAGCTTCTTCATTCTGTGTGGACATCAAGGCTTACACAGCTGTGCACAAATGCAGTAGAGGATATTGTACTGCTAGTTTTTAAGAACTGCGTTAGCAGCTGTTCCCTGTGAAGGCAAGGGCACAAGGCTGGACGCAATTATGCCTTCATGGTTGAAAGAGACATTTTATTTGTCACTTTGAGGCTTAAATGCAACGAAGGGGGACTATGTCTCTTTGGTCACAGCAGAGGGTAACAGAACAGAAATAGCTTACATATATTACATCTTATCCATTTGTAAATAACAAATAAGGTTCATACCTAAGAAAGATCAAGCATTTTTGTTTTCATTGTATACAGTGATGCTTTTGAGTATGCTCTTTACAAAGTTCTGCTGCTGAATTACAAAAGAAATGTTGGGGAAGTACACAGGATTTGTGCAGATTATGAGTTTGTATAATTCTAAGATCTTACACTGCTTTTTTTTTTAAAAAAAAGCTTTTTGTAATCCTGCCTTTTGTGACATGTTGTAAGAAGACAGTAAAGTTTTCAGAGCAAGAAAACAACTTATTGCTGCCATATAAGTGGCACGCTATGGGGAGTCTAATAATAACAAATAAAACAATATAGTCTGTGTTACTTCAGTTCTCTGTACCTACTTCTATAAAATGACATAATATTATTCATAGTATAAAGTACGTAACACTTCTTTATCAGCTAGTCTTTATCAAGAGAAAACAAGTTATACTGTATGATAAGAGCCATTGATATGTGAAGGATTAATATCTTGATGCATTATTCCTAAGGACAGAAAACAATGCAGCACAGTCAAATGAGGAGAAGAGGACAGGATAAGTATCAAAAATTCAACGTGGGACATGGGAATATTCCAGTGCTAGGACTCATCTCATCTTCACAGACTTCCCAGATTGCACAGGAAACTGTCCTGAACCATGGTCAGAACCCCAACCAGAAAGTAACCGAGACTGCTGAGATGAAAACCGATGTGGGACATTTGTCAGAATTTTATTGAACCTCAGAAATGTTTTGACTGGGTTAAAAGAATTGGTAAACTTCTGTGACTGGGGTTACCTGCCTCAACAGAAAGTAAACCAAGGTAACAGAGATGACCATATGTTGTGCTATAACCAGATTATGTTTATTACATTTACACACACAAGGAAGGAGTGCAATAACAGTACCTGCTACCTGCTCGGCATGATGTTGTATGGCATAAATGTAGTGTCATCATCATCAACAATTGGTAATAATGTTGTGACAGTGGTCAGAGTCTGCATGGTAGGTTTGCTATTTGCAAATGCAGTGCACACACACCTATGAAGCGAGACAGAGCTTATTGTAAATTAAGACATCACATCTCAAGGACCTCTTCAGACATTCTTTTACTTTGACCTGCATGTCTTCTCACAAGGTCATCTGATGTTTCATTACAGGCCATTGTCTTCAAATTTATAATTCATTAAATACTGGCCTGATTTTCAGGCCAATATTAATTTCAACGGGCATTGTTGTTGCTTAGCACCATGGGTAATCGGGGTTTATGTTTTATGAGCATCAACATCCACATAGCTTTTACAACCTTCCCTCACTTTCTCAGTTTGCTTAGCAAATGGCATTTCGTTGAACTCAGGAAGTCATAAGGAGAATAAGTCTGAGATTTATAGTTTTGTATAATGTCTTTTCCTGCCAGACAATGTTCATTAGGCCTTAGTCAGAACTGTCTTGCTGTCCTTCCAATAAAGGAAGTATTAGTAAACACAAAGCTCAGTAGCAGCACATAGATTATATGATGGGAATCTGGGATTAAACTGAATTCCAGAGATTTTTTAGGACATAAATTGATGAGACCCTATCACACATTTATTAAAAATGTG